GCGCGAGCACCAGGTCGCGGGAGTTCCACCAGATCGCCGGGCGAGCTGGGAGGCGCCCTCGTGAGTTTTCAAAGGTCCAGGGTTTAGGGTTTTAGGGTTTAGGGTTTAGGGTTTAGGGTTTAGGGGCTTGAATAATTAGAGCAGGGTTTGGGCGGGTTCGTTTAAAGGGTTCTTTACAAGGTTCTATAACGGCTACTCAAAGGCTTATAAGGTAGTTATAGTCTTAGTTCTCCAATAACCAACCTTTAAACTTCTTGGGTTCTTAAAATTTAGTAGTAATGTGAAAGTTTATCGTTGTCTTTTTTCTGGCTTATTGGGGTAGTAAGAAGAATTAGAATAGGGTTTTGGGGTTCTCTATGGTATAGTTATAATAAGGAACCCACCAAAATAATATAGGTAATTGAGGCCCCTGTATTACGTGCAGGCCGTGCAGCTGCAAGAGTAGTTCTCTAAATGAGGGTCCCATTTAGGGTTGCTGGGTTTAGGGTTTAGGGGTTTAGGGCCCCTTGTATAGGGATGCTGCCTTCATTTGGGTTCCTGAAAAGGGGCCCTACGGTAGAGACTTACCCTCAAGTTATTGATTCTCCGTTAAAGTCTTTACAATTGCAACATCGTCTTTATATGGTTGTTTCATAACCCACAGCGTCCTAAGTACACAAATGGGGAACACTTACCCGAACCATGTGTGTGCCATGTAGGTACTTAGGACGCTTTGGGATAACGCCTAGAATGCTATGTACCCTTGTTTCAAACCTTACAGAGCGCTTAAGACGCCGATTATTGGGTATTTCATGGTACTTAGGGCCCTTGCGGATACCAGTTATAAAAAACCCTTAAAGAACCCTCTTCGAAACCTTACAGTCCCTAAACCCTAAACCCTAAACCCTCTTCGAAATCTTAACGGAGCTCTATTACTGTACGGTAGACCCTAAACCCTAAACCCTGAACCCTAAACCCTAGTTTAGGGTCCAGGAACCTTGGAGTCATAAAGCGGGATTGAAGCCGAAGGAACCTGGCGGCGATAGTTTATGGTTTAGGGTTTAGGATTCAGGGTTTAGGAGCTTATAGGGTATAGGGGCGTAGAGTTTGGAGTTTGGGGTTTCCGGTTTAGGGTTCAGGGCTTTAGGGTAACTCGGGCAGGACGCCCAGAGGCAATAGATCCTACAGCTTGCACATGCCCTGCCCTGACGTGATCTGATGCCACCGTCACAATGAACAGCTTCGGAAACAGACCCTAGTAGGAATTTGATGCCACCGTCACAATGAACAGCTTCGGAAACAGACCTTAGTAGGAATTGAGGTTTAGGGTTGCCTTTGCAGAAGGTCCACTCAAGTCCCATCCCTTTCAAAGAAGCCAGGAGTGTTGGGTTTCGGGCCCCTGGGAACCCTAAACCCTAAACCCTAAACCCTAAACCCTAGCCCAGGTGCGTTTGCTACGGCTTGGGTGGTGCTCCACTGACGGAAGTGCCGGAGGAGCTGCCACCGAACGAGGATCCCGGTAGGGTTGGTTTAGGGTTTAGGGTTTAGGGTTTAGTTTAGGGTTTAGGGTTTAGGGTTGGTTTGGTCTGGAAGAATCATGGAGTATAAGGTGCAGGGGTTTTGAGTACTTAGCCTGAAGTATCTAGTGTCCAGTGTATCCTTCATATTACCGAATTTCACATGTTTAAGATTTTCAAGGCTATGCCCAGATAGCATACCCATAGCTCTTATGTCTTTGTGTCAGATTATACTCCAAACCCTGGTTCCAATCGTCAAGGACCCTCTTTGGGGGTTCAGCAGGACCAAGATCTCAGAACCTAAACGCGTATGAACACTGAAACCGCCATGGTGTGAAGGTTGGTTCGAAACCCGCAGAACTCTACCTTGGCAGCCCAGTTGCCTGTCTAGTCGGCTCCCGGATCATGCGTTTAGGTTTCCTGTGTACGGTTTCTACATATAGTTCCTTAAAGCGGTGGCATTTTAGGCCACAGGTAGGGGCCTCGGGGCTTCAGGGTTTAGGGTTTGAAGCATCAGTCCTCTGCTACATGGGCAGCTGGGCTCCTTGGGCTAGTGATTTCCTTCTTTGGGGTTCCAGATTCTGCCCGTTTTTATGGGTATAGCACGAGAAGGTAAGTCTTACAAGATCCGGGTGGGGTCTCTCAGGCCTTGCCGTACCTCGCTGCGGCTCTTATGCCCGCTGTCTTGATAATATAGGGGTCCTAATTAATTAGAACAGGGTTTGGGTGTCCTTTATATTATAAATAAGGAACCACCAAAACAGTATTAGTAATTTTTGTTAGGCCCCTATGTTACACCGTAGCTTCGAGCTGGAGACCGGTCCTGATGAGCTGGAGTCGCTGGGTGCCTTGATGCCCTAGCCGCTCCGTTTTTCCACCAAGCCTGCTTAGGGTTTAGGGTTTAGGGTTCAGGGTCAGCTCAGGACCCCAGCCACGGTTTAGGGTTTCGGGTTTAGGGTTTAGGGTAGCCTTTTAGCCGACACTGTCGCCCATGCAGAAATGTCTCGCGCTCTGCATCAGCAATTGGAGACAAGAGTCTGCAATAAGCTCGATGGCGTAATGTAAGGGCCTTAAGAATTCGAACAGGGTTTTGGGGTCCATAATACTATACTGATTATTATAATAAGGAACCTCCAAAATAATATAGGTAAATATTGAGGCCCCTATCATTTCTTCTGCACGCCACTCTCCGCAACCCTCGGCGTGAAGAACACACGCGAACTAGTCTCGGGCAAAGAGGCTTAGGAGGGCCTTTGGGCTTCGAGGCAAGCACCTGGTTTGCCGTAAACCCTAAACCTAGGCTCTTAAAAAAAAAAAAATATATATATATATATATATATATAGAGGTATGTAATAATAATGTAGGGGCGTAAATAATACTATTTTGGGGGGTTCCTTCTTGTTTATATAATATATTGGGCCCCAAAACCCTATTCTAATTATTAAGGCCCCTATGTTTCATTAGGGCCCTAAGCCCCCGAACCCTAAAAGCGGAACCCGTTTCTGCCCTTTCTGTTGTGGTGCTTAGGGCTTTAGGGTTTATAGGGTTTAGGGTTTAGGGTTCGGTTGCCTGGGGAGAGGGTTGATCATGTTCCGCCCTATGTGCGGCCGTAGGGCCGTAAGCCGAGACTGTATAAGCTATGAGGCGACACCCTACAGCAGAAGGGTTTAGGGTTTAGGGGTAGACTGTTGTAAGCCCGAATATCTTCAGATTTAGGTTTTAGCATCTTAGGGTTCAGCGCCGAGCCCAAGTTTGAGACGATGGACCCTGGTCCCTGCAACTCTAAAATCAAACCCTAGTGCCCTACCTAGATAGAACCGTACAGGAACCTTGACATTGATAAGCCCAACAAGAACTCTGCAAAACCCCAAACCCTAAGCCCTAAACCCCAAACGCCCTCAAAGCCTTCAATGGTTGGACTACTTTTGTAAGAACTCCTCAGGCCAATCATGTACTAAAGCCTGAAACGCTGAACCTCAACACCTTAACTAAAGGCTTAAGCCCCGGAAAGCCTGTAATAGAGTGGCCTAAATAATGACCTCTACCTTTTTTGGGGGGCCTCCTTATTATAATGGTAGTATAACATGCCCCCCAAACCCTATTCTAACTATTAAGGAAAGCCTGCAATAGAGGGGCTTCAATAATTACCTATACTTTTTTT